TCTTGTCTTGTTGTCTGTCAAGTTTTGCTTAAATAAGGATGATAAATTATATGAAATTTAAGAATGAATAAAGCATACAATAGCCAAATACCATTCTAGAGCTGGCTTTATTGACATTAATGGAAGCTATCATCTAGATGCTGTAGACCTAGGACTTCCCACTGTCCATCCATTTATACACTTTTAATTTTTCTTTCTTCTTTCTCTTGGATTTTGTTTCTTTTTCTCTATCCATCACTCTCGTCTGTCTCATTCATTCCTTCTGTAAGTACTTCATTTTCAGATACCCATTTAAAGGAAATACACACAAACAGTTGTGAAAGAGTCAACACTTGGTATGTACAGATGTTCACGGAGGTTAGGGGGAGGTTAAATTGCATTAAAAATGGCCACCTAATCTAACTTAGTTCACCTATGTGGGGATCTCACACTTAGATCCTGAGTTAGGCTGATCTAAGTACAGACTGTACAGAAGTTCCAGGAAGGCTAGATAGGTCAAAAATGGTGAGCCCTGTCTAATTTAACAGTAATGGTACCTCAGAGGAGCTCCAAGTTAGATTGGGTACAGCTGATTTAACTGAACTTTGGTACACGTTCCTAGTGGAGTCTCTGGCCCCAACCTGGGGTCTGTGATTTTCCTACCCAACCCTGGCTTCAAGCCATTTTTATCCCCCTGGCCCCTCTCCCCACTCCCATATAGACAACCCCCCTCCTGTAGACCATCCAGCCTCCCTTGTTCCAAAGGCTGCCAAAACCCCTGATACTGTAAGCTGCTCCCAATACTGGCATTACCAGTGTTCACCGGTGTCAGTATTTGGTAGAAGTAAGTTGGGAGGGGTGGGCAGGATCAGAGGGGTTGGTATGCTGGGGATGGGGCTCAGGGGGCTCTCCCTGCCCCCTGCCCAGGGGCTATTTTTCCCTTCCCATGAAGGTGCTGGCCCACCAAAACCCCATCATGAAGCCACCAGATCCACTCCCCCCACTCTGACTTACTTCAGTCAGGCTCCTGGACCTGGTGAACACTGGTAAAAACAACCCCACAAGCAGTTTGCAGGATAGGGGAGCAGTTCATCCACATTGGAGGGGGCTGTGGAGGTTGGGTGGGGAGGATGTAACAGGATTGGAGAGTCTCCCTGATCATGCCAAAACTTCTCAATCCCCCCAACTTTCCTGTGGACCCCACTAGCCCCCCAATCCCATCAAACCCCCCACAGACCTTGCTAGCCCCCACAAGCCCACTAAACTCTTGTTGACCGCACCAATCCATCTTGCAGACCCTGCTGCCCCACAAATCCTTCCAGGACCTTGTATTAGCCCCTGCATCCCACCCACCCCTCCCCCTATCCCAACTTACCTTTGTTCAGGGACCATTTTTAGCCCTGTCTAACCCCCCAAACTTCTAGCTATAATGTCTGTACAAAGCCAACCTGGTACATAGTCACATTAATTAATTACGAGTGTCCTTTTATTTTTCATGTGCCATTCTTTCTCCTTGCAGTATGTTGAGTGAATTTGTGCTTATTTACAACTGATAATTGATCCAGTACACAGTAAAACCAGTTCCTGTTCCAGGTTATATCAGTGCAAGTACTTAAAATATCCCATGTTTCTTAAGATCATCCTCTCTCCCCACCCCAAGTCTAATGACCCATTGGGTCAGCGTGGCTAAGACATAAATACTCCCTAATACTTTTTGCGGGGCTGTGAAATTTCTGAAAGGTTGTTGGTCCTTTGGATTGCTAACAGTGGGATGGGAGTAATGAACTCTTAGGTTGTGCACAACATCTGAGAAAAAGTCCATGTGGAACCACAGGCTTTTTTATGGATGATGACCTGTATCTCATTTGGGTCCCAATAACAGAGGATTCATAATATATGTGGTCTGGAAAGAGAGACTTGTTAAGAGAAGCCTGCAGAGTATGTGAATTGGCCTTGCAGTTTTCTTGAAATTGGAGCCACTATTGTCCTGTATTCTGGTGGATATCCAGAATAGCTCATTTATAGTCAGAACATGCTCTCTGGAAAAAAATGAGATCTAAATCTTGTCACAGCCCAACATGTAGAAAATCCTATCATCGTCCTATTAACCACTTAGTATCTAGGATGAGATCAGATGCTGCACTTTTTGGTGTCAGTGCAGGGCCCATGGGTTAGAGAAGATAAACATATCTTTAAGCCACCTTTGCATGCTCAGGGTTCTTTGTCTGCTGTAATCTGACTTTGCCGTAGTACAACTTAATGTAACACCAAAGGCTTCATTTATTAAATCTTAGAGCGGATGCAAATAAATACTGCAAAAGATTGCATTCTGGAAGGAGGCTAATGTATACAGAAAAAACCTCAGCTTCTCATAAGCCACTCCCTTATAGAATTTTTGCTGCATTTATGAAATTATGGGAAATAGTGTTTGACTAAAACACCATTAATTTTTAAGTATTGTTTCCAATATAAAATATTTTTATTTTGGCTATTCATTTTTAATGACCACATAATGCAACTCAGCAAAAAATACACAAGGCAAATGGAAAAAAAAAGTGTGACCATTAACATTAAATATTTGCATAAAAGTCATAAAGCACTGAAGCAAAGACTTTGTAAGTGGCCGGCAGTTCACGTAATGAAGACCGAAATATGCGGGAACCAACAATAAAATCAGTTCATCAAAGAAAACATATGGTGGTAAATTTATTGTATTCTCTTCATGCCTGGTCCTGCCAAAAGCCATTATTTCTTTTCATTTTGGGGTTTATTATTTAATGAGAATTATCACAAATTTTATTTTGATTGAGAGCCACCTTCATGCATCTCTCTGCAAAAAATTCAGCCTATAGTGTTACCTAGCTTTTTCTAGGATCTCTTTGCTAGGATATCATCCATTCACCATCAGCAAACACCTTGATTTTTAAATGACTGAAATCAGGTCCTTTATATTTCACATCCTAGCCTGCTTAGCCTTTAACTTGCCTGACCTTAAATCAATAAGTTCTGGTGGAAATTTAGCCCGTGCATGTTGTAGCTGCTGTTTGGAGAGTACATCTGCATCTCCCACAAGACTGATATTACCCTTTGAATATCCATGCAGAGCAGAAATACCCATTTTCACTTACGACTTGAAAGTTGTCAGATGTATGGTATAAACAAAGGCTGGAGATCCCATGGAGATTCTGAATAAATTAATGATCAGCCGGTCCTCTTGCACGTGCAGCATGGTGTGTGCATTCTCCTGTATCTACATATTACAAACGCAAACCTCTAATTAAAATTCTGACATTTGTGCATTCTCATTAAATAGTCTAACACCTGGACACATGGGGCTCTGTGGTGTCTGGTCTAACACTTGTGTATATGCAGTTACATTGTGCATGTACAAATATTAAAGATTTGTCGGAGATTTTTGCAGCTAGAAAGTAGGTGTGCAGGTATGTGTGGAATCTAACATGCTTTAATATTGTAAGGCCAACTGCAAAAGGACCTCCATTCCCAAGAGAACCCAAAAATAATGGACGTTATTTGTAATAGAAAGGGCTGAGGGGTTGGGGCCGAGGGATAGAATCATATTAACATCCACCCTGCTTGTTAGATTGCTTTGGGCCATATCCGAACTTTATAGAATTATTCCAAGGGTTTGAGTAGACTGTGCGAGCAGGGGGACCTTGCTAGTTATGTGGCTATTGTCAACAGTTTTGATGCATTGTGGCAATGTAATATTGCATCTTCTTGAGGTCAAGGGATGCAAGAAGAGGACGAGAATAATGACAATACAACAATCAAATCTCAAAAGAGGTTAATTTTCCAAAGCTGTTAGTATTTAGTAATCCCCAGAGCAATAATACGTCTGTATCTGTAGGAGGTTTTGCAGAGAGAGAGCTAACGTTATCAGGAGAGTAATTACTGTCCTTCTACCAATAGACTTTGTAGCCTAGCAATTCTGGTCCCCACAATGACCCTTTAGAACTGATAGGTATAGATTATCATTCTATATATATGGTGTGTGGAGAAGGCAGGAACAATCTCGTGCAGTCAAATTAAGTGGTCTCTAGGCCCTGTGAGAATGCAGCGGGGGAGAAAAAATCAGGTTGGTAATCCCTGTCTCCTGAAAAAGAGAAGTTCTTAGAAGGGTTCTGCAGGAATCAGACCTCTAAGTGAACCCTGTGCGGAGGTCAGGCCATTTGATGATACAACTGCAAATGTACTGCTAACCCATGTGACTATATAACCTAGAAACTTTACAAGTAATCCATCTTGTGTTTTCAGGTAGGAATAGGAGTTTCTGAGGACAAGATCTATATGGGTTAATACTTGTCATCGCTATTTAAGGATCTGTAGATAACTGAATAGTAATCTAGTGGTGATAGTTACAAAGAAAAAGAAAGTTCAATCATAATCAAATTGCTCCTGCTGAATTAAATACCTCTGTCCACCTCCCCCACCTTCAGTTGCCAAAGCTAGGACAGGTCTGAGGACCAAGAAAGTGGGATCCTTAATCTTTCAGTCAGGCATGTGTATCTGCTATAATTATCCTTCATCTGTCCTATACCTGTATGCTCCCTTAACAGAGTGAACAGATGTGGTCACACACAGCCTATGCTAAGCAGAAGACAGATGCCACTTTCTGGACGATATATACTTTTCCAACAGAAACATCTGGCTTGGTGGCTGGATTCCATTTCTGACTTGCTTGTAGCTATTCGGTGGCTTCTGGGGATATTGCAGAATTAGTCAATGTGAGACCTTGCTTGTGTTTTGTTGTCCAGGCAACCGCTGTTTCATGACTTCATTTATTTATTTATTTATTTGATCCTTATCTTTGCTGTTTTATACTTGGGGATCTAGTTCCTACAATATTTTTTAGAGACCAAGTCACTGGATGTGGGATAGTGTCATCAACTTATTAGAAATTAAGAACGACTAATTTTCAGAAATGTAAAACTCAGCAGCAAAAACAAAAGGATACTTATTTTTTAATTTAATTACACTGTTTTTTTTAGGTATGGGTTGGCATGGCTCTGGAACTCAGCGAGTTCGTGCTACTGCTGATTAAAAACCGCAATAATTGGTGACTAAAATACTTGATTTTAGGTAGCTACACCCTCCATTGAAATCAGGGTTTTAAGTGGAGGAGAAAGGCAAGCTGCAGTAACTGCCTGGGCTCCAGACCCACGGCAAAACACAGCAGAGATTAATGGCACTCTTGCAGGGGCTGTAGCAGTCTTGGAGGTGTGTGGCCCTGCTTGTGAGACTTGACTTGTATGTTTGTCACCCCTTTTTTATATGATTGTCATCTTCTCATTATTGTTCCCAGTGTTAATCTGTGTGCCATCCATAATTTTTTCAGCTTTGATTTTTTAAAATTTATTTCTAGATTATGGATGAAAATGTTGAACAGACTTGGAATTAGTTGTGATCCTTATCAAATCCTTATAGAAATTCCCGAATCAGTAATGATTTGCCTTGGATACCTGTTGTTTTTCATCAGAATTATGTGCAGTACTAAGTCAAACATCTTACAAAAGTTTAAACACTGATCACCATCTCTATCAACCAAACTTGTAATGGCAGTAAAGAATGAAATAAGGTTTGACAAGACTGATTTCCCATAAAAACCATGTTGACTGTCATTAATTATACTGCTATCCTTTAATTTTTTATTAATTGAATCCTGTGTCAGCTTTTCCAGTGTTTTGGAAAGGACTGATGTCAGAGTAATCAGTCTGTAATTACCCAGGTCATCCTACTTGCCCCTGCTGAACATTAACATTCTTTCTCTTTTATGCCAAACTTTATTAAAAATTAACACCAAAGGCCTAGAAATCTCCTCAACCAATTCTTTTTGGACTCTTGCAAGCTATCTGATCCTATTACATTAAAAAAAATGTTTCTCCCTATTAGAGTTTATTAACACCTTTTTTAGTTGGAAAATACTTCACACACACACATCATCTGGGGCATTTATACATATGCTCCAGGAGTGTGTGGGAGAGGCATTTTAATTAGAATGGCTCCAAGAGCTATTCTAATTAGAGTGCCTGGAGCATCATGCGTATCAATATCCCCAAGCTGAAAAATGGCCATGGGGGCACTTTAACTAAAGCGTGTTGAATAAGTTTCAGTTAAAGTGCCTCTGCCACCATTTTTTGGCACAGGGACACTGATACACATGACATTGGAGTCTGCTGGAGCACAGTAATTGCCACATTCCACCAGATTCAATCAATCGAGTCTGCTCAGATGCCCTATAATTACAGCACATCAGAGCACGTGTCCCTGTTCATGAATAGGTGCCCTTTGCATCTTTCTATGCACAAAACAGGAAGATTTGCAGAACAGTTCTGCGTTGCTGTTAACAATATTATAGCAACGGGACTATATATTATTCCTCTTTTGTGTCTAATATATACTTTAAAATCTTTATTTCCCTTAGCAATGCCAAATAGAAGCTTTTTCCTCATGTCTTTAGCTTCCCTTATCAATTTTCTGCAACTTTCAACTTGTAATTTATATTGAATTCTTCCTATAAGTTCTGCGCCTTACACATGTAAAGGCGTTTTTCCTGATTTATTATATATGTAATTTCTAATTGCTTTCTTCATTTTGTCACTGAACCAGGATGAGCTGTAGACAAATTATTGTCTACATGCCTATATAGTGTATTCAGTGCATATGGGAGATGCTAAATTGACAGTATTGGAGACCACAGCCTTTTGGTTTTTTCCATAAAACAGCTCTACCAAGTGTTACTGCAATGTAAATCACCCATGGTGTTTCGCCACTGTGCCTTGGGGGATAATCTCTCTGGGGACAATAGGTACATTCAGTTTCTATGCCCATTAAATCTTTGGTATCTGATGAGACTGTCAACATGGATGTCAAATGTTGACAACTATGACAGTGTTTTTTTGTGATGTAGACACCTGAACACAGGGAAGTGAAGTGAGACCATCGACTCATTTCATATAGGCCACCAAAAAGCTGTCAAAGTAGTAGAATTTTTAATAATATTCATGCGAAGGAGAGACAGTAATGAGCTTTCACATGAGAGTCAGGATTTACCTGCCTAGAAAGTGTTGGATCATTAAAATTCTTTTTCCCAGTGTCACATGCCTTTAGGACAGAAGTTAATTAATATTAGTTTCTTACTTGTCTTCAGACTCATATTATGAAACTGAACTTTTCCCATTGAAAATTGAAATGAAATAATCAATCTGTTGTAAAAATGATATGATTAATTAATTAAACTTTGGAAGAAATCATTCATTTCCATTTTAAGGAAGCATTGTATTGATAGATATCATGAAGGCAAAGGACATGATTATAGCGTAATAAAACACTGTTGAACTGTACTTGTACATTTATCATTTTCATTCTCTCTCTCTTTCTCTTTCTTGCTCTCTTAGTAAATTCCTTGAAGATCATTTAATTTAATTAAAGTTGAGAAAAGCACCTAATTCAGACTTGGTATGCTAACCATGTCATTCACTCTGCTATGAAAAAAGGTTATGATACTATTGTCCAGAGGCTTCTATTCCCAGAAAAAAACCAGGGAAATCTCTGAATTAGAAGTCAGATATCCTACTTATGTTAGCCTACTGTACATAAGTGTATGTGTGAATAATTATAGTTGAAACATAATTTTAAATGTCATTGGAATAACATAAGTGAATTAGCAGATGGCCAGCTGGTGTGAACCAGCACAACTCCATTGATTTCTCTGGATTGACTATTGCATAGCAGCTGAAGAACTGAAGGAATAACAGTTGTACTGGAAGCTGACCATGAGAGAGAGCTGTTATATTTTCTTCCCCTCCGCCATTGGGTTGCTCTCTATTATATATTTAACTTGAAAGAGGCAGAAATAGTTTCCTTTAAGCGAACAGTAGGCCCACTGTGTTTGGTTTGAATTACTGCTATTGTTGCTGAATTTAGCAGAGAAAATGTATTTCTTTTGAAGGAACAACTGTTCCCTCCCTCACTGGAATGGTTGCCTCCTATTCAGGACTGATGCAGAAGGTGCTGCTGCTGCACACTTTTGTACTTATTCTGTCATTCAGAAAATCTTAGGGCTGTCAACATGGTACCTTGCAGAAGCACTAAATGTGATGGATTTGTTTTCAAAAGGTTTTTAAAAATAAGGAAATAAAAAGTAGACCATGTTCTTTATGGAAGAGTCCTATAAACTTTAACAGACTGCCATAGAAATGTAATAGAGTTCTGTAGAAATTGTTCTAAAACCTGACAAAACGAAATAGAAAATGATATCCTTCTGTATGTATTTTTGAACCATCTGCCAGAATTGTGAGACGCACAAATAAATACCAAGATCTTTATTTAAAAAAATGGGTGAAAAAACAGTCACTCTTCAGTACTTATGCTCTAGGAATTAGCTCAGTTTAACATTTTTTTTTGACCTTCACCCATTTGCAATGATGTTTAATGTTGTTTTTATCAGACATTTTCTTCACATCTCCAACAGTTTAAATATTTCGACTGAGTCTGTCACTTAAATCACATGACCGATTTGGTCACAATTTCAAGGACGTAAACATACTGGATGAGTTGCAGCTGGCCAACAATTTCAGAAAAAAATATCAGTAGAACCGAAGAGGTTGCTCTCATTTAGATCTCTGCTTATAATATGCTTGAGCAATTCCTGGAATTGCTGTGATGTTCAGTGTATATGCAATTACCATAGACAGTGAAGGGAGAGACTGCCCTTCATGTATTTTAATCCAGTAGCATTTTGGATTGCCCTTCTGCCTGCAAGGATATGAAAATAAATGAAAAGTTAGTTTCAAAAGTGTCTTTTAAAGTGTGATAACAGTCAACCAGATTTCAAAAGAGTTTAAAACTGTCCCCCTCTTCCCCCCCACCCAGGGAGAGTAAAACCAAGAATAAATGGTATCATTTCCAAGTATTGAGTTTAAATGTATATAACAAAATATTCAAGAAGTGCCTTGGTAGAAAGACTCATTGATCCACCATTTAAAGAGCAAGTTGGAACTACAGGTAGAACGCTAATAATAAAGCTAAACACCCTCCATTTGGGAATATTTTCAGATGCAAAAGGTCAGTGTTTAGTCCTTTATAATTCATGGGACTAAGTTGTTCATTGTTTGTGAGTATACATGCAGCCTCTGGGCAGTTGTGAAAAGAGATGTGAAGCTAAAAGTCTCAGAGATTTTTTTAAAGATGAATATTTGTTCTGCAAATCTGAAAAGCAAAGCATGTTGTTCATCTTTGGCTATTTCCTTATTTTCTTGTAAAAGTTTCTTGCTTATTTGGCAGGAAGTAAAATCAATATCATGTGACTGAAGTGACCAATAGTATAATATGCATAATCAACATTAAATTATCAAAGTGAGCAACTCATAAGTGATCTATTAGCTGAAATGGTTCCACAAAAGTATTGATCAAATGCTGCATCGTAGACACCTGGGATTCTGGGCCCTTCCTTTTAAAAGGTTATTGCTGCTCTAGTTATACTCAGTTTAAATAACAAGAATATGAAAAATTCCCCAAATACCAAGAGATCCAGAAATACCATATTTACTCAAATCCAAGACACAGTTTTTTATCCGTTCAACATGGGTGAAAAGGCCCCCTTGGGCGAGATTCTGTTACAAGGTAAGGGAAGGAGCAGGGGAAAGTGGGGGCAATGGCTGCAGCTCTGACTCTGGCCGTGAGCCCAGTCAGTTAAAACCATAAATGCAGAAGATGACCATGGGTGTCGTGGATTAGGCCATTGAAGCAAAAGATCATTGAAGCTGGTGGGTATAACCACTACCCTTCATGTAAGTTGAAAGGGTCGGTTAAGCTCTCCTGCAAAATAATCGTAACCCCCATATAGACCAAGGTACACATCAGTGTCCAAACAAAGGCGCATGGGATACAGGATTTTTACTAGGTATTGTTTTAGTAAAGCTATGTATGAAAAAGAAACAGGAGAAATGCATGAAAAAAACACAGAAGGCATAAACAGAAGTTGTTAGTCATGCGATCAGCTCCTTGAAAGCACTCTACAGCCATGCGCTGACAGAAGGGCAGTGCATGCTTTAAAATGGCCCGATTCTACAACAACCTGAACCCTCAATAAATGAAGGTTCAGGTGAAGGCACTCCAAAGCAGAGTGCCTTTATTAACTTGTGTCAATGCACGTTGGGAGCAGGTCTGGGCTGACACAACTCAGCCCTGCTCCTGGTGCTGTCTTCAAAATGGGTGGGGGAAGGGGAAGGGAGTTGAGGGAGTTCTGTCTGGGGCTTTTCAGCAGGCACTGGAGGGTAAGATGGCTGGATTGGAGCCCCCACCCCACCTCCGGGGGGTGGCCCATCCACTCACCCCACCCTCCAGCACCAGCTGAAAAAACCCCAAACTGAGCTCCCTTCTCTCCTTTGCACCCCTCCAAGTCTGAAAACAGACCCAGGGCTGGAAGGAGGGAGAGTTGGGGCTAGGGGAGAACAGCTACAGACTCACAGCTGCTCCAAATTTCAGTTGGATTCCCCAGCCTCTGAGACCCAACAGCAAATGTCTGTTCGATCCAGGGGATTGCTGCAACTCATGGCACTTCCTGCAGTGGCATGAGTTAGAGTGGGGAGCTGCACTTCTGTTTGCACACAGTGAGGCAGCAGAAAGCCAGGCACTACCTGAAGAGAAGCATTGGTAGAATGACCCTGAGAAAGAGCTAAAGGAAATAGTGCTTTTGGAGCTGTATGTGCAATGGTAGGTTCTGTCAGCAAAGAAACTGTCTCTTTTTGTTTCATTTCTCCTGTGCTCAGGGAAACAGGACTTTGTACACACTTAGAAAATAACAAAGAATAGCCTTAAGTAAATATCTGACTCTAACATCAGTTTCTCCTCCTAACTGGCATAGACTGCAAGACCCCACATTTTTGGCTAACAGTTCCGATGAAAAAAGATAATAGGAGCAATCCTGTAAGTAGCCATCAGAGTAAATAACATGGTATAAGGAAAGAAGCAATAATTATCGTCTGAAATATGATATAGAAAAAATAGATGCATAGAAATTATACAGTTTTCAAATTATGCCTACTTCGGGGGACAGGAAGGAATAACATTTAAATATGTATTCCAGATTGTTACTAAAAACCCAGTACCATTCAGTCTTTTGAGAGACCAGGATACAGCCCGTCTATATTCAGGACATGTTTGCAAGCTTAGACACAGAATTCAGGTACAATTACAATTCCTTAAATGACTACCCATTTTGTATACTAAATTACATACAAATTAGATACAGTCACAGTTCCCCATATTCCTCCATTCCCTTTTAGCAGGTAAAGTATTACTACCACCCAAGTCATAAAAAGAGGCAAGAGACAGGTCTATAACCAAACCTTTTATTGGTTACACCCTAAAGCAAAAGAATAAGCACTTGTCTCTATTCCCATCTAGCTACCAGTATAGATTCTCACTTATACTGGCCGGTGGGGGAGACAGGAGGGAGCAGGAAAGTGGCACGCAGACTGGAACAGGTTGTCTAGAATTCGCAGAGGTCTTCCCAAAATTTCCCATTTATACCTAATATGTGTATCTTATTTAAATAAATATTCTGATTGGCTTGATTCAAATGTCTTTGTTTCACCAACTTAGGACTTAGACTGAACCAGCTTTCCTGTGGACTTGGAAGATGCCAATTGGATGGGGTCTGTGTCCTTTTAAAAAGGACAGTTCTGGGAAAGAGGACTTATCTCTTTCCCTCACCATCTGGGAATGCTACTTATCATGTTCTGTTTCTTTTACTTGGCTGACTAGGCCAGTTGTGACATCTGCAAAGTTTCATTTTGAAATGCACTTTGTGGCCTGCTTCAGCCACACTTTTGCAGCTTAGCATGAGTCCCTTGAAAGTGTCCAACTCTGACACTAGGTTAGCAAAGATTCCAGCTGACTACGTAATAACTCAATTGTTATCAGAAGGCAAAAAACATCAGTTGTTACTTTCAGCTGCTGTTACATGTTTTTTCCAAGAAGCAGGTACACATTCTTGGCCTAGTCTAATATTAGTGGCTAGATAAACAAATTCTTATTCTACTTTCCCAAGCTAATGTTTGTAATTTAAATACAAATGTATTGATTATTGAGTGTATACCAGTTGTGCTAGTGTAGCAGGCTTTACCCTTTCAGAGCTTGGGTTGAGTTGCAGGATCGAGGGTCTGCTGTTTGATTAGTGGAGCCCACCCACCAATCCGGAGGCAGCACAAGGGAAGCAGTGCCCCACCCTTTTCCAAAGGGAGGGGGCAAAGAGCAGCTAGACCTGAATCAGAACTGTGCCAGCCAGGTTTGGAGAGCTTCGGGGGTGGAGCCCCTGAAGAGTATAAAAGGGGAGTGTGCTCGGCACACTGGGGAGTCACGATGAGGGACAACGAGGAAAGAGGAGCTCAAGAGACAGCCATCCTCAGGACCCTTCTTGAGCTTCAGTGGTGCATGAATCGGTGCACAGGGATCAGGCTCTAGGAGCCGTTCAAGGCAGCTTGAGCCTGCGAACCCGGCAAGTAGCTTGGCAGTCGATATGCAGATTGGCACATGGAGAGCTGGCCCTGGGAGCAACTCGAGGCTGCTCAAGCCCCACATGGTGTGTGGATCGGCACATGGAGAATCCACCCTGGGAGTAGCTTGCAGCTGCTTGGGCCTCACACAGTGCGTGGGTCAGTGCACGGAGGACCTGCCTGGGAGCAGCTCATGGCTGTTCAAGTTAGCCCCAGCCCTAGGCCGAATGACCGGAGCCTCACAGGCCCGGGAAGGATGCGAGTCCCCCGACTGTTCGTTCAGACCT